AATTTTAAAAAAACAATTTACCATTTCCCCCTGAATTTTATCCCTTTTAAAATTTCACCCACCCCCCCCCCCCCACACACACATACAGATCACGCAACAAATAAATTATTTTATTTTTTTTATCTTTACCGAAACGTCCTTCGAAAACAATCAATAATCTGTAATCTTAATGTAATTCTCAAAGTGTGTAATTCTAACAATTCTTTAGAATGCCTATGCAAAGTGTATAATGGCTTCTGTATTTCACACTTTGATGAGACATTCTATAGAATGGCTGGATTACACACTTCGACTGTAACCTTTAAATATATGAATAAATCTAATAATTTTTTGATTATGTAAATTTAGAATACATAAATCAATACGATACCAAAAATTTAATTCAAGCTTGCATCCACCTCTTATGACAATATTAGGCCTAAAATATATAGTCTATATTAAAAGAAAGATTATAGTACATTTATTGCCTAATAAAATAATACTACTTTTTTAGTATTAATAAAAATGTCTTAAGGGCCTAATCTAAGTTTCTTATTTTGTATCTATTTAATAATAAATTTTAATTAATAGCTAAGTTAAATTAATATTTAAAACTTGGCCTACTTAGTATGTCTCTACTTGTACTTTTAGTCTTGAGTATAGTGTTATTTAGAATTATATAGGCTATAGGCTATAATCCTTTGTAATATAATTATAACTAAATATATTTTAAAATTATTGACATAACAGTCGATGACTTTTGTAAAAATTGGGTAATATATATATAAGGCTACAAAATGTTTGTTAAAAGATCTTAAATAAATAAATAAATAAGACTCAGTAAGATCAAAGTAATTATATTTTTATTAGTACATAGGAAAGTAGTTAACATATACAAACATTAAATTTTTCAAATAAAATAAAAAACAAGAAATAAGTTTTAATAAACACAAAGCTTGAATAATATTAAAAAGAAATAACTAGAAATTGCATACAGTTAGAAAAATGATTAGATGTTATTTCTAGAAGCCAAGTTTGGGTGTAGAGAAAATTATGGAATACATCAACAAGATCAAGATGTTTGTGGAGCAATATATATAGAAAATGACAAGCAGAACATCCCAATATCTTTAAAAATAATTATTCAAATACCATTATCAGTATGCTCGTAATAGTTTTATGTGTAATTTTAGCTTTTTTATTTATAATTCTGAAGAATTTATTTAATTAAAAACAATACAATAAACATGTTATTTATTGTATTTCTTTCCTACTAATATTTTTCACATTTTTGTTTCCATAAATTATCCAAAATACAAAGTCTAGAAGTAATGCACATTCTTTATGTCTCTTATTTCATTCTACCTGATATAACCCAACGCAATATTTAAAACATTATGTCGTAAAACAATGGTGCAACAAAAAAAATCAACATTATCAATATCAGTTGAATCATTATTAATTAATCCGTTATATAGAATTGATAAAAACAAACATACACTTGTATTAAAAGTCTTTAAATGGCAGTTAGTTCAAAACTAATTGTTTAGTAATTAAAGTCAAACAAACGAATGTTGTAGTTCGGGAACAAAAGTTTCTCCGCATTATCACCCAGTAGGTTCGAACGTCGGTCGTCATACAGCTGTCCTGCTGCACTAAACAACTGCTCACTTGCCACGCTGGTGGGCAGCGCAGACAAGTACTTGCGTGCAGCAGCTTCCAGAAGTGGGTATTGACTACAATGCCAATATGCATATATATCCGTGGTCAGGGGCATTCGCGGCTCCTTGAGGTAACTATTAAGCTGTTGCTCATACAGAGGCACAACATGGGTTTTGATGTTGGCAGTTTCTGGTGGATCGACAGTAGCAGACAGGCTATCATGAGCAGCCCACAGATCCACATCATCATCGAGATGAGATATTTTGCTGTTCGCAGGATCGGAGTCAACACTGTCAGTTGACAAAGTTGTAGCTGGCACATTGAGATTGCTCGTAGCAGATTCTTCAACCAAACGTAGAAAATCCAGAACTGCTTTAGTTGCCGCCATTTTCTCTTGCACATTGCAGTAAGAATCTTTGAAGCGTGGATCAATCAGCGTTGCAGCAAGGTATGGTGCTGAGGAATTGATATCAGAGAATCTACGACACATTGCATCACGCAGTGCAGCTTTCATCTGCTTCAGGCCCTGATCTGCTGATATTGTTTTCAGTATGCTATTCAGATTTGCGACAAGCGGGATGACCAATGAAATACATGCATCATCAGCACAAATCTCCAGCGTTGCAGTGTAGAATGGTTTCAGAAGTTTGACAATTTTTCCAGCCAATTCCCACTCTGCGTTTGAGAGACTGTCAATCCCGCCTCGCTCCACACTAAACAGATGAATTGCCTTGCTCTGTTCTTGCAGACGTTCCAGCATAAGATAAGTGCTATTCCATCTTGTCTCAACATCCTGCAGTAAAGAGTGTGCTGGAATATTCATCGTTCGTTGGTGTTCAGTGAGATGACGGCAAGCCTGTTCACTATGTTTGAAGTGAGTCACAATCTTACGGGCTTTTTTAATGACAGCTTCCACTGATGTTTGCGTAAACAGCGCATCATGCAGAACCAACTGTAAGGTATGGGACACGCAGCCAATATCAGCGACACCTGCAAGCTTCATTGCACATTTCATGTTAGCGGCATTGTCTCTCACTCCAACGTGAATCTTCTCTGCTATCCCCCATTTCGCAATGGCTTCCCGAAGTTTTGAAGCAAGATAATGTCCATCATGGTCTTGTTCCAGCACCATCGCACTCAAGATAACTTTACGCCGCACAGCTGCGTGAATGAAATGAGCCGTGAAGCTCAGCAATGAACATGATTTTGTTGGATTGCTCCATCCATCTGTTGTAAATGAAATCCATGCAGCCTCTTTTAGTAGATTTATGACGTGTTTCAAGACTTTGCCATATGTGGCAGGCATCAGTGTTGTCCTGTAATACTTCTCGCTTTTGACTTTATAGCGATGAGTGCTCAGTGGATCATCAATGTTCAATCTTTTGAATCCGTCTCCTTCAACAATAGAATAGGGCAACATATCAACAATAATCAAGTCCATGGTGCACTTATCAATTCTCTGAACAGCAACGTGGTCTTCTGGCCAGACCATTTTGAAATCGGTCATTGACGTCAATGACGTCTGGACAAAATTTGGTAATGAATGTTTCGTCGCTTTCTCTTTTACCTTCATCTTTTTCGCGAGACGCTCTGCATCGTCATCCATGGCTCTCTTTAAGTACATACCATGTAGCTCCTTGTGGCAGCTGGCCAGATGGGTTTTCAAGCCTGAAACTGTTTGCAGTTTTGGTTTATCGCTGCCTAGTGACAACATTTTGCTGCATTCTTTGCACTGTGCCTTGCTTGCATCTGCCTCCACTTTTGTGAAGTACATCCACACCACATTCTTCGACATTCTTTCACGTTGATTCACAACTTCCTTTTCTGGGGCGCTCCACGGGGGAGATATCGATTTTTATATTATAAATATCGATATTT